CTTTAGCGAGAGCGTAGGGAAATGCAAGCACAAATTTTTCATGGGACGAGCTAATCGATTCATCATCGCGTATCAGGTGAATTATGACCTTTTCCGTTAAGCGAAGTTGCATCATTTTTTTGAACCTTTGATCATTACACGGCTCGCCTTTTGTCTATTGAGCTACCGATAAGGATAATAAAGGCATTACGAGCTCCACCAATCATTCCCTCGATCAACAATGCATTATTTTATTCTAATGAGATTGAAATGCTAGTTAGTCGGCCCTCTGGCTCGTCTTTACACTTGAGTCGGATAATTAGTATAAGCCGATAACCGTAATACGATACAAGTTCTCCTCCTTAATAGATCTAAGAAGATTGTCGTGCTAATGAAATACAATAGAAACAGCTTCACATTCAATTTTTCTTATAGCGACAAATGCAATTTATAATGTAACAAATGCGCTTAACGTGCAGTTGTAAGCCGAAACTTTTTCTCCTATCGTTGTTCAAGCTGCAGCTGCTATGTCATCCCTCATACAAATACTAATTCGAGTATTATATCAATTTAAATGGACCAGAGGGTTTTTATATTTGCCTCGGTTATATCACTGCCGCCGGATTGCCAAATCAAGATTCGCCGGGATAAATGGACATTGCGCATGAGATGCGAAATTCCCTCGGAAGATAATGCGGCATTGAATGAAATTGTTGGTCGGGACGGGAGACGGAGATTATAAAAGTGAAATTAGAATATATTTCGGCAAGCACCGAGGCTAGTGTCGCAATATTTTGCAATATATTTTATCCTGGCGCAATAAGCGAGCGAAGATGTTTAACGATGTTACACGGCGCGAGTTGCACTAGCAAATTTGAAAACCGAGTGTACCGTTAACATTGAAAGTCGGTGTAATTTTACCGGGATTGCCGCGCGAGTGGGACAGCGATGACGATGTCGAAAACGCTCAGACAAAGACGAAAAACAATATCTCATTTGGTAATAACGTGAGCGCGACACACGGGATCTTTAAGCCTCGGCAAGAAAGAGAGAAGGTCATAACGCATTCATTCTAGAAAGTAATCGGGGCTCCCCTTTGCACAACCACGACTTTCTGCTGCAACTCCCTCATTACAACAAACACTGCGAAATAGAATTTGCGCGCATTGCTGCGCACGACGATCGCGCTCAGAGAAGTAAAAATCTGCTCGTTAAATTTTACGATTACGCCGCGGCGCTCATTAAAAATTACACAAACTAATGATTTTTCAATAACGCGGCCCCATAAACGGGGCCGAAAATAACTCAATACGGCTTTAATGGATTTTAATGAATTTCAAGGAACATTCGGCGCTTATGACGAAGAATAATGTATTGCGATTATCCATTCGCAGCCGAGTCACCATAACGAGATAGATAAGCCTTATTATTACACCAACCTACGCGTTAAAGCAATTAAGACGAATTAAACTCGGTTGATAATGTAATTTTCTCTCTCTCTCTCTCTCTCTCTCTCTCTCTCTCTCTTTTGTTCTTCTTTTCCTTCTCTTTGTGCTTCTTTTTGTTTTCAAACATTTCGTCCGTGCTGTGCATTACGCGAAAGCAAAAAAGTACGATTGTAAGCCGTTGCGTGGCCCCCAGCGTCGCAAAAACCCCCGCCCTCAGTGCCTATTGTTTCATATCTTCAATTCCATTGGAATATTTGCATTATAAATAACAAAAGAGCTCGATAATTGCACGAATCGCGGCGCTCGTACGAACAGTTGCAATTATTCAATACAGTATTTTATTATCGTTACGAGCGCAGGTACGAAGTGATAAATCTCTTTGGCTGAATTCGCATAGAGGAAAAAGAAAAAAATGTGCGGAGGA